TTAAACATCATAAATACTGTACATTATCTCCTTCTCTCCCTCACACGTCCTTTGCCCCCTCCTCCACCACTGCAGCTGCCCCTTTGTCACTCCTCTCTCTCTCTCCTCCTCCTGTGGCCTGGAGGTCAAACCTCACACAAACCGGTTAAGACAAATTATTAACCTTTCAATACACTTAATTCTTGGCTGTTGTCATTCGTAGCGAAGGCTGAAGTAAACAAGAAATGTAATATACAAACAGTTCAAGCATGAAAGCCTTCCAGCAAAACCAAACAGCTCCGCTTTTCTTCTGTTCGTGGACTAAAGGAACACAGAGATGAAGAAAATCAGTAGTCCAGATTACTTCATCTCCGAACTGGCTTCATCACTCTCTTCTCCCCACTGAGTGCTGGTGTGTGGGGACCTTACTGGTTCACTAAGGTTGCTATCCATTCATCCAGGTGGGGCTGCACACTGGTGGTAGTGGAGGGGAGTCCCCATTAATTGAAAAGCGCCTATATAAGTAAGGAATTATTACTTCTCCGGAAAAAGGCACAGATTAAATATTCCTTTAATGAGTGAGCAGAGTGTGTTAATTTGACTGTTGGCAGTCACTGGCAATCCCTGGTGGCTCAGGGAATACACGCTGAGCCTGAAAGCCAACCAGAGCCAATCAATGCATTTTTAATACCTAAGTGCAGTCGTATGGATTAATGTTGCAGTGTAGGTTTTAAGAGCAGCTTTTTCTTTCAAGAAATGTGAGACATTCCTAAGATTTAATATTATGTTCTAATCAGTGTGTACAAAGTCTCACCAGCAATGTATCTGAAAATGTTTGTTAGGAATCTAGGCTATTTTAAGATGGTGGAAGGGACTGACGAGACATGACAGCGTTATCGACAGTTTAAGATATGTTATTCCAATAATATAATGAGCGCAGTTATCCAACAGCAAAGCAAACTGGAAACCTCAGCTAGGTTTGAAGAGCATCTCCTTACAGGCATTGAGAATACGTACCAATTGCAGAGACCAAGGGCTGCTATAAAAAGCAACCCTACTTATTCTGCATTCCTGATTCATTGGAAACTATTACTAAATGAGATTACTAAACTACTTTCAAATGGAACCTGGAAACAAAATGGAAGGAGCAATTAGCATCCTACACTGGTACTGTATGTAGACTTTGAGAAGTATCACTGCCCTTTGTCCATGTGGAAAATGTTAATTATTAAGTCTAATGAATTAGGATCCAAATGGTACCTGGTTAATATGCACCTATTTCAACAACTGCTTATATGCAATGTACAGATTGGTATTTTGTCTTGTATGGGTCTCCAAGTGCCTTTATAACACAGAGACTACTTTTTAAATTAGGAAAGTGAAACCACAGAGGCCTCAATCTAATTAAATTCTAGGAAGCGGTATTGCTCATCATCACAGCCTTGACTGATCATTGACAAGCACTCTTCTGATGAGGTGGGAGCCTTTGTTACTCAGCTTAATTTGAAGATTGAATTAAAGGAGTCGTTTGTTTGTGCTGTGCTATACAGTATGTACTGTAGGTGCTTTCTTCCTTTCACTTCAGGAAGGTTTGGCGATTCTGAGGATAAGCTCTCACTGCAGACTGTCAGAGTGTGTTGCATTTTGTGTTCAGTGATGTGCTACACTTTGTCTTGAAGACATGACACTCTGAGTTATGTTAGACCAGCTGTTCTGGAATATAGGCTGGTGTCACTTATCCCAGCCCTTTGGGGTATTCAACCCTTCTTCACAGCTCTTTCCAATACCATCATTCCCCACCACAGCAATGGCTCCCCTAGGGAACAGGAGGCACTGGAAACCATGGGTGAGAGTAAGCTCGTTTCAAGGAACAACAAAATGACCTTAACTCCGCTATGAAAACTGAAAACCTTAGGTAAGGTAACTACCAATTCTGAAAAGCACACAGGGCAGAGGCGTGACGTACACAAAAATAAACCCTGCAACTTTGTAAAATTTGAATTTCCTCAAGGAGAATGCTATGAACACTTTTTATGAATGAGGATGCAGGTTGTGTGATTAACTCAACAAGCTTTCCTTTTGAGAATTAGGAGAAACTGACAAGGCAGATACATGTTTGAAGATTTAGGGTTTTACTTTTTCTGAATGCGGAACACTGCATGTTTGAAACCACAATGACCTTCCATTTTTCATTTGAGCACTTGACAAAACACTGCCGGATTGCAATGCTATCTAATCCTAGAAGTGGTGGCCTACAGTACCTTCTCCACTTTGGAATGTCAGTTTCGTGTTTTTCAGCATGTTTAATAGTTCAGTAGGAATGCTGTCCTTAACTTTCCATTCATCATGGTACTTAATCCCATTGAAACACACATTTACAGCCACATGAGGTTAAATAACAAGGACTGTCAGTTTCATTTTGCAGCACCTACTAAACAGATTTATTTTCTGCAGCTAATGCAACTTGCAATTTCCAATGCTCTTCAATTTCAAATGCTCTTCAAACTAATTTTGTTTGTTAATAAAACACCAAAGCCAAGTCATTGAATAATATACCAAAAGACTAGAAGAAATTTGGTTTCAGTGATGTTTTCCAGAGAGGGTCACAGGTCCACAGAGGGTCCAGAGACCACAGAAAGTTGTTTATACTGATCCAAGCTGTGCCAAAATAATTTCACATTTTAAATCGCACCCCAGCCAGTTTAATCAGCTGTTTTTAATCTCTCAGTGATCACATGCAAAAATAAGTCTGCCACACAAAACTAAAAACCTCAAATGGATTGGGAATTATTTTCAAGTCCAACTACTCACCAGCATTTTGCATAAATGCTGCTGTATTTTGTGCACACTTGGAACTCAGAGTGAAATATCTCTTTTGAGAAAGCTGATCCAAAATAAATGAGCTAATGTTAATAATAGTGTTTCATATATCTGAATGATACTGATATATGACCCAGTGGTGTGGCAGGTAGTGCTGTTAGTGCTTTTGGGTCCTGTGTTTGATTCAGGAATGATGCACCTTCTGTTTAGAGTTTGCATGTTCTCTCTGTGGTGGTACAGTAGGTTTTCTCCAGCCTCCTTGCACAGCCCAGAGACACACTGTCTCCACACTTTAACCCATGTGTGTGCCCTGTAATGGACTGGTATCTCATTCAAAGAGAAGCTTGGGTTCGGCTCCAGGTCACTGTAGAAGACTGTTCTGTACGTTCATGAAAATGAATCACGGGCATTGATAGAAATAGTTTTTCCTGTCACATTTCTAATCTATTGTTACCATTGAATTGCGATTTTTTATGATTTATGTTCATTTCGATATAGTTTCCCCCATCCAAATTGGTCTAATAAAATCTGTAAAAAAAAAAAAGCCGAACGCAATCAGACAGCCGGTTTCCAAAAATGCCAAAAGATGCAGTGCCGAATCATCGATGAGACAAACGCGAACGACCCCCCCCACACACACATCTTAAAAAATACTTTGAACATCAAACTGAACTAATTTACTGGGTTCAAGAAGCATTTAAATAAGGTTTAGACCAAAGGTCTGCGGATAGCTGGGTAAGGAAACGTACTGTAACTGAATATTTATTAGTACAATAGTTTAAGAAAGATTATTATCTTATTAAGATTATTTAAAAAAATTAGAACCATCCGATTTATAGAATCACCAGTCTCACAAATCAAAGTACTCCGAATTAAAAAGATTAAAAACCCTATCCACGGTGTTACACTGATCGCATGTTTAGTTCAAAATTGATAGCATCTATGAATCAGAATTTGAACATTATAACGAATGTTAACAAAACTGGAAACTAAGTGATCTTCAGCTCTAATATTGTTGTATTTGAATTACGGGTTTATTTGTTATGTAAATACACAGAAAAGCGAAAATAAAAACACAGTCTCGCCCCTAACTGGATAGAAATACGGATACAATCTTGAATATTTTGTCTACAAACTTAGAAATTTTAAATCGTCAGCAACACGCTTCGTGATGGTCGTTTACTGTACCTTTACCTGTTCCTAGATGAACATTTGTTACCGTTTTAATAACTCATATAACTGAACCTTATATTAATGAAAGCAATGTGTAGAGATACCAGGAATAGTCAAGTAATACAGAAATTACAGTTGCAAGAAGTTAGTAGCCAGGTCAATAGTAAAAAGAAACTAAAATAGGCACATATGTTAGATCAACCCTACATTACAATACGACTCTCTTGAACATGCTTAACTAAAAATAGAGCACTTGAAAGCTCAGTCTGCAGGGTGAGAGGGTTCCACGATGAGATGCACACTGGTGTGTCGTCTCGCATAGCTGTGGAGTAAAAACGCATGAAGCCCCTGTGTTTGGCAGAAATAAATCACATTACGTTGTGTTGTTAACTGTCTGGCTTTGTTGCTCGCTTCCAACAGCGACGAGACTGCACATTTAACGCCTTGAGCCAAGTACTGTACTTCAGTTAACAAACCACAAAGCATTTTCGCCCCATCTTCGACCCTCTCTTTCTCTAATGCTAAGACATACAGTGTACAGACCAAGTGTACTGCGATGACCATCTCCCATTGAATAAAATGAGATACGAAATATCACATTAATAATTTAACCTCTTTGTTTGGGTTAAGCCACAACTAAACTGTCGAATGGATTAGGTGCGATTCACGTCAAGTAAAACTGGAACTGCAACCACAGTAATGATTTAAACTGAAAATGTTACGAAGGAACAGCACAACACAGCGCCCAGCGCCGCGTTTACGTGCATGTCTAATTTAAAACAGCATTTAAAAAAAAAAAATACCGTGTCTCGACACAGTCCAGTATAATCTTTAAATCTCCTTAACGCAACGAAAATAACAAACCCGATCCCCTGTCTAACAAGCTTCCATTGCTAGCGCTGACGACAATAACAATTTAATCGATCTTGTTTTTACCTCTAAGCAGGTGCCCTGCTATTGCTAACTTATTGCCAATATACGCAAATACATGCGTACGCGCTCGCATTAAATGTGTTAGTGGAACTTACCTGCTTGCTGCTGATCAATTTGTTGAACTGACGCGGCGCTCCGTTGTTTTTTGTTGTTGAGACGCGCTGCTCAGCTCATTTAAGCTCCCAATGTCGGATTCCTAAAGCGTGCTCTTGTCTGTGTCTCTGTTCGGTGCTGAAGTGCTGGACAGCGCATTAAACAGCAGCAGAGTCAATAATGAGAGCCGCTCTTCCCTACATAATGAACACCACCCTCTACCGCACGGGAGGCGCTCCTGCAGCTGTGGAAAGAGCTGTTCACTCTGCAGCACCCCTGGACTTCGTGACGCTAAATAAAACCACAGTCTGTTGTTGCAAAAACAGGGTCAGAGAGTCGATTTATAAAATTCTGGGGGCAGGTTTTGTTTGTCATAAAAGGCCGTAAAAGACTAACCAACAGGAAAGCCAATATAGCTACGTATTTTTATTTTTCCCCTATTGCGTGTTTAAAATAACAGTGCAATCTTGTGCATTAGCTACTACGTTAAAGAATTCGATTAAGATATAAAGGTTGGTTGAAAAAAAGCAAAAGTTCTACACAGGTGGCACCAATTACCTTACTTACAGCCAAATACTACTGTGGTATTTCTATACAAAATCGCGTGTTTTTTCCCCAATCGATTTCTTTCTTCAGAAGAGAACCATCATTAAAGAATAATACGATAAAAGATCTTTACTGTTTGATCTGTTAATAATACATTTCGAGTACCAGCCCTTTTTACCGAAGATTGAAGATCTTCCTGCTCTAAAAGCGAAGCGTACTGAAGAAATTATTGTTTCTGGGACTGTGCACCTTCAGTACCACAGTGAGCGCACTGGAATCTTATTTTTCAGTCCCCAGGCGGACCAAAACCTACTACTCCTGCACCTCGCGAGAAGTTTAGCCAGGGAGTAAACATTTTAATCGCCAAGCAACTGTAACACATTGAAACCCCGCTTCTTATAATGTTTTGGAGGTAATATCTACTTTATTTCACGA